TCGAGGTCAATGCCCCTCCATTTTAAAGACCAGCTGGCAAAATTGCACAACATAGAGTGATTTGGGTGGATTACATCCAAATTTAACATCTGAAACATGACAGAGCATTTCATTCATTTAACAACTCATAAAATAAGTATTAAGTAATCAAAATAACTTCCACCCTGCAACCTCTCCTGTGTGCCCGAAGAAAGTCAGCAATGGAACACTTTAAAAAGTATTTTATAACATCCCTCCTTTCAAATAAAAGAATCTACATATACTTGTTTATGTTGTTGGTATGCACAGACTTACTCATAAATAAAAAGCACTGTATAAATGTGTTTAAAAAAAAAAAAAAAAATATAACCTTTACCTCACTATAACCCTGCTTGATCAAATATATGGCTCAAAGATGGTGCCAACCAATGACGACTAGTGCACATTAAGGTGGTGATAGTTTTGTGGGTAATGAGAAATGGTAAAGCATAGCTGCTCAAAAAGACAACAATAGTACAATGACAATATTTATCACACTTTGTATATATATACATACATATACACAAACACACACCATTAACCTATGGGACTATCTGTACAACTATGAAGAGCGGAGGGGTTAAATTTGTACTAAAGCCAGATAGAAAAAGTCTGCAGTGCTGCTATGTAGTGACTCGTATTCAGTGGCAACTGCTGGTAAAAATTTACCAGTGAAATTTGTGGTTGTTAAACAAATTCTACTTGCATACAGTAGCTACAAGCTTTTGAGTGCGGAGCAGCTGGCTGGTAGAAAGTAGCGACAATTGAAATGAACCCTTAGGAGTTTTATGTATGCTGCCAGAGCTCTTAAAGGGACATTCTAGCCACTAGAATCACTAAAGATTAATGTAGTAGTTCTGGAGCAAAGAGACTGTCCCTGCAGGCTAAGCATTTTAAACACTGCCTAACACCACCTCTAGTGTCTTGTTATGTGAATTCGGTGTCTCTGCATCAAGTCTAAATACATGGCATAATAGTATGCCAGTTTTGTGTTCCTTTAATAACACCGTTCACGCTGGATTAAATGTAGCTATTGTATAGAGCCCGCATTTAATGTTTGATATAAGCATCTGATAGCATTACATGTAGTTTAGAACTACAAAGATTGTGTGTTCAGAGTAAAAATGTGTGTGCACGGGGAAAATTAACATGGCATATGCATTAGTATTGATTATATTGATCAAGAAGGTGAAATTGTGAGATTAATGGTGTAAGTTTGTGAAAATAAATCACTATTTCTAGACTTTTATTTCTGTCAACTAAGATACCAGCATCAATAAAAACAAAACAAATCATGACATATAGGACAAATATAAAAGGGTGCTAGAGGAAAAAATAAATAATAATTTTACATTTAGTTTTTGTTATGTAGATAAAAAATACATAAGACAATACAGGTCAAGCAGTGTAAACATTGTAACACATTAGAACTATAAACCATACAAAAACAATGACATCAGAAGAGTACACACAGCAATTCTTCATTAGTGGCTCTACCCGAGTAACGAAAAAAAAAAAAAAGAATTACCCGTATATACTCGAGTATAAGTCGAGTTTTTCAGCACACTTCTTGTACTCATTACAAGCCCGGCGGTCCTGTTGGGGGCTGGCAGAGAGCTGTAACTTACCTTTCCTGCAGCTCCTGTCAGCTCCCTTCTCCTCCACTGTAAGTCTCGCGAGAGCTGCGGGGTCAGAGCGTTGCCACGGGTTACCGTGGCAATGCTCCGCACGGCACTCACACCGCAAGACTTGCAGTGGAGGAGAAGGGAGCTGACCAGACCGGAGGAGAGAGAAGGGAGCTGACAGGAGCTGCAGGAAAGGTAAGTTACAGCTCTCTGGCAGCCCCCTTCTACACAGCCCATCCACTGGACCACCAGGGAATGAGAGTCCCCCTCCCTGGCCAGCTAACAAGCAGGGAGGGGGGACAAAAAAATATAAATAAAAATGTAAACAATAAAATAAGAAATTTAATAACATTAAAATAAAATAAAAATAATAATTAAAAAAAAAATGCCCACCCCCCACCAAGGCTCTGCATCACACACACACACACACACACTGCAAAAACATATACACTGTAAATAAATATTCAATTAATATAATTTTTTGGGGATCTAATTTTATTTAGAAATTTACCAGTAGCTGCTGCATTTCCCACCCTAGTCTTATACTCGAGTCAATAAGTTTTCCCAGTTTTTTGTGGTAAAATTAGGGGTCTCGACTTATATTCGAGTCGACTTATACTCTAGTATATACGGTAGATCACAAAAGAGAAGATAATACTACACTGAACAAAATTATAAACGCAACACTTTTGGTTTTTCTCCCATTTTTCATGAGCTACACTCAAAGAACTAAGACTTTTTTTTTTTTTTTTTTAATTCTTTATTTATTGTCAGACAAATAGTATATCAGTACATTATCTTTGCAAATATAGGCTTCGCGGAAGCCTGGTGTATAAGCTTATATATTTTCATTTGTCTGTTTTTTTTTTCATAGATGTAACATGTCATACATAAGTAAGTATATAACTTTAACTTGTAACAAAGTGTGTACAATGATGGGTACAAGTGAGGTTTTGTGAGGTGTGGTTTGTTTTGTCCGTGGTATCGTTGCTTTTTAGTGGGGTTTGTCATGGTCTGCGTTATTCGGGCCTCGAAGGAGAGTGATCTGTCTGCTCCCTCAGGGGTGTGGGAACTTGTTGGTTATTCTATGGTGGGTATGGGCGTCCGCTTCCTGCCCCTTATCTCTGGGATGGGGTTATATGTCATATTGGTCCCAAAGTGCCCATACCCGATTAAAGGTTGTCATTGTATTTCAGACCTGGGCTGTCATTTTATCCATTAAGTAGTTGTCTCTGACCTTGGTCGTTACTAGGGCTAGGGGTGGTGTCTATGGTTGTATCCATTGTTGAGCCAAGGCTCTGCGGGCTACTAGGTATAACATGTTTAATAGTCTCTATTCGTACCTGTCTAGTCCGTCTGTGGGTCTGGAGAGAAGACAGGCCCAAGTGTGAGTCTTTTGTGTAGGAGATAGGAACCTACCGCCACTACTTCCCTCCAGTATGTGATGACCCTTGGGCAGTGCCACCACATGTGTACGTACGTGCCTTTTTCCCCGCAAATACGCCAGCAGGTGTCTGTGGGGCTGATTTGCATGTGGTGTTGCTTGACAGGGGTTGTGTACCACCTAAATAGTGTTTTGTATGCCTGTAGGGAGGTGCAGATGGATGTTTTTGTGCATGCTTCTCAGAAGTTTTGCCAATCTATCCCCTCCAACGTGTCCCCCAAGTCCCCATGTTCCAGACTCTGTGCAAATGTGGTTGTAGAGTAGTGAGATAAGCTTCGTTGGCATGGTTTCTTTAAAGCATATGCGTTCGAGGAATGTTAAGTTTTTGGTTGTCGTAGCTTTAACCGTATCGGAAAAAGTCCCTGGTTTGCAGTGGGGCAAGGGATTTTAGGTGGCCATACGTCACTAATTGCTTCTCGATGTATAGGTGTATGTAGCGTTGTAGCCCTGTGGTTTCGATGCCTTTGAAATCTCGTGCCCTGAGTCCTGGTGGGAATGCTCTGTTCCGGAATATTGGAGTCATCGGGCTTGGGGTGTTTATGAGTTATATTTCTGGGCTACCTGGTCCCAGAGGCTAAGAGAGTTGAGGATGGCTGGGCAGATAGTTCTAACTATCGTCCTGTGTTCTCTGGGTGTCCATATTAAAAATTGGGGTAGGTCTGTGCCAGTCATTAGTGATTATATGTCTACCCATCTGTGTTGGTCTATTGGGCAGTGCCACTGCGCTATTTGGGCTAGCTGTGCTGCTATGTAGTAGTTGTGTAAGTGGGGCAGTCCGAGACCTCCTCGTGGTTTGGGGTTGTATAGTATGGCTCGGGCTATTCTAGGTCTTTTTCTCTGCCATATGAAGGCATCTATAGCCTTCTGGATATCTGCCAGATCTATTCTAGTGATCCTGATCGGTAGTGCTTGAAAGAGGAATAAGAGTCTGGGCATGACATGCATTTTTACTGAGTGTAGGCGACCGAGCCATGTAATGGGTTTGTCTGTCCAGTTTTCTAAGTCGTTTTTTTAGAGTGTGTAGGAGGGGTGTGTAGTTGTGTTTGTACAGCGCAGTAGGGTCAGCAGTTAGTTGTATTCCAAGATATGTGAGCGATTCATGATTTATCCTAAGTTGGTGTTTGCGCCTGATGTATGTTACATCTTGTTCCTGTATGTGGAATGGCATGGCTGTCTATTTGGTAAGATTGATTTTGTATCCGGAGGCTTCTCCGTATTGTTGTAGGAGAGTGTCCAGTCGGGCCATGGAGCGTATAGGGTCAGACAGTGTTAGTAGAACATCGTCGGCATATGCCGCTACTTTGAATTGTTTAGTCCCTATCTGTATGCCTTGTATCAGTGGGTCTGCTCGAATGGATTGTAGTAGGGGTTCTAGAACGAGCGCGAACAGTAGTGGGGATAGGGGGCACCCCTGTCGTGTCTCGTTTCTCACTGGGAAAGGGGGTCCTGGGAGCTCCAGGTATGATTGATTGTGCGTGGAGGTCTGTGTATAGGGCCCTAATTGCTGTAATGAATGTGTCTGGGAAGCCATGTGTTTCTAGTAGCTGAAATAAGAATGGCCATTGGACTCTGTCAAAGGCCTTTTCGGCGTCTAGGGAGAGGGCGAGGGAAGGGGTGTCAGAGTTGGCCATGTACCAGACCAGGTCGGCCCCATGGCAGGTGTTTTCATATAGCTGTCGTCCTGGCATGAAGCCAACCTGGTCCGGGTGAACTAGTTTGGTCAAGAGAGGTGTTAGTCGTATAGATAAGATTTTTGCGAAAATGTTTAAGTCCGAATAGATTAGGGAGATTGGTCTGTAGTTTGTGGCTAGGGTGGAATCTTTGTTTGGTTTCGGTAGGAGCACTACGTTGGCGGTAGCCATGTCTCGGTCTGGTGTCCCTCCCAGGAGGAAGTGGTTATATAAGTTAGTGAGGGGGGATACTAATTCGTCTTTGCATTTTTTGTAATAGGACATGTCATAGCCGTCGGGTCCGGGTGCCTTGTAGCGTGGTAATTGCCGCCGCCACTTCTTCTTGTGTTATGGGCTCCTGTAGAGCTTCTGCCTCTTCTGGTGTTATCCTAGATAGGTCTGTGTGGATCAGAAAGTCTTTGATATGTGTCAGAAGTTGGGCATGTGCTAGTTCGTCCCGCGGGGTATGGTCGTATAGTCTGTGATAGTATTCTGTGAAGGCTAGGTTGACGTCTCTTGGCGTGTTAACTATTACGTTAGAGGAGTTACGGATTGTAATGATGGGTTTGGATTCTTGTCGGGGCCTGAGTGTACGGGCTAGTAGTGTGTCCATCTTATTGGCTTTCTCGTAGAAGAGGCGTCGGGATCTTAGTACGGAGTGTGCTACGTCTGCTATTGATATTTCTCTGATGGTGGGGTTATGTTTGTGTTGGTGTTCTGTTCTCCGTAGTGTAGCTTGGAGTTCTAAGAGGCGTTTTGTTTTTTCTTTTTTAGCGTGGGTGGCTGTTCGGATGAAGTGGCCTCTCAGGACTGATTTGTGAGCTGCCCATATAATTGTCGGGTTTAGGTCTCCTGTGTCATTGTTGCTAAAATAGTCTGTGATTGTTGCTCGGGTGGCGAGGAGTATATCCTCATCATTGAGCAGGTTAGCGTTAAGTTTCCAAGTCCAGTTTAAGTGATAGTGTAGTTTCCCCAGTGTGACCGAGATGGCAGCATGATCGGACCATGTGATGCTGTTGATTTCTAAATGTATGAGTTTGGTCATGCCTGCTCTGTTGAGGAGGATGTTATCTATTCTAGAGTACGTGTTATGGGGTGCTGAGTAGTATGAGTAGTCCCTGGTGTCTGGGTGTTGTAATCTCCACGCGTTGAGTAAGCCTGTGTGTTGGAGAAAGGTGTGCATTAATTTGTCTTGGCCCCCTCTGCCCTGTGAGCGTTGTGTTCCTGGTTTAGAGCTTCTGTCTAATGTCGGGCATGGGACTGCGTTGAAGTCCCCTCCTACTATTAGTATGCCTTCTCGTAGAGTGATCAGGGTTTCCATGGTGCTCCAGAAAGCTTGATCTGGTTCGTTGGGGGCGTAAATGTTAACTACATGTATTTTCATGCCGTGTATAGTGCCAGAGATAGCCAGGTACCGGCCTTCTGGGTCAGTTTGTTGGTGCGTTAGTATGAGTGGGCAGGTTTTGTGAATCAGGATGGCTACACCTGCTTTTTTTCTAATTGCTCTAGCCTCATATGTCATGATGTAATTGAAGTTGTTCTGTGCAGGTGCATCTCCTGGATGAGAGCTATGTCAGTCTTTTTTTTTATTTCAGTAGTCTTCGTTTTTGGGGTGTGTTTAGACCCATGAAATTTATGGATAGGATTTTAAGCGTCATGGTGGTGACGTTGTAGTGGCCGTCGTAGGTTGTGGGGCCCCCTGTCAAGGTCCCTCTTAGGTCGGGTAGGCGCCCTCCCTAGTGTTACCGTGGTGTCTTGCGCTGGTTCATGAGAGACATTCTCACTTGTACACATGTTAAACCGTAAAACAATACAACTATTTACATAACAAAGAAAAACATTCCAGTGGAAATACAATCTGGTCTTACATTCTGCCAGAGTAAATCGGGGGAGGTTCCTCTCTATTACTATGGCTCCAGCAGGGTCGAGTGAGTCCCCGATCCACCGTGCCACAATGCGAGAGACTCATAGATAACTAGTTGTCTCATACAGCATATGTCATAGGTTATGCATTTAGATTAATTTGTTGCGTGCCTGGATGCTAATGTTGGAGTTGTGTTTGTCCTCCTCCATATTTTTAGTTGCTGGGGAGGGGGTGGGGCGGGGGGGGAGCGTGGGAGACCAAGGTGGTATGGAGCAGAGGCCGGGGTTGTGCCGTGGAGGTTGCCCTGCATATTAGTGCAGTGTCCCGCGGGCTGTGTCATGTTGCCATTATTGTTGCTGCCCTAGGGGTAATTGCCGTGGGTAACTGTAGGTCCACGGTTGGTGATGGGAAGGGGAGTGGGGAGCCCCAGGTTCTCTGATCGGGTGGTATTGGGTACTATGGGGGTACAGCTTGTTGTATCTCGGGAGAGACCCATAGTATGGTTGCTTAGCCTTCTATCATGAGTGAGAGGGCCCGTGTCTTGGGTAGAGAGAGCTATCTGCTAGCTACTTAGCGGGCGCCATGTGGTGTGGGGATTTGGGTACGCTTGTGTGATACCTGTCCCCAGTGTGTGCGGGGGGAGAAGAGGTAATCCCCCGGCCCCCCCCCGCAATAGCCACAGGCCCCCCCCAGGCCTGGTGGTGCGGCCGGTCCCCAAGTTCATGTGGGGGGTACCTATTAGCCAGTCCGGTGAAGGATATGCCAAGTTCTATGGTAGCCCGAAGTGCTTTTATGCGTGTCGGTCAGCCGTCATCCAGTCCCGGGGGAGCGAACGGAGCTCCGGTAAGTTGTCTCATGGTAGGGCGAATCCCGGTGGGGGGTCCAGGCGGAGGCCACGGAGAAATTTTAAGAGGTCAGTCCCGGGCAGGAGCGTGTGTGTAGCGCTTGACCTGTACGCCACTAGCTTGAACAGGTGCCCCCATGTATACCAGATCTCTTGGTCCTGGAGCAGCGAGGTTAACGGCTTCCAGTCACGGCAGCGTTGCAGTGTTTAGGTGATAGATCTTGGAAGAGGGTGATGTTGGCGGATTGGTAGGTAAGGTCATGCTGTCTGGCGTATCACTGCTTCTTTTGTTGTATAGAAGTGGAAGCGGATGATGATATCTCTGGGTGCCATCCCTTCAGCTCTGCGGGCCCGGAGCACCCTGTGCGCACGGTCGATCATCCATTTTTCCTCCGGTATTTCTGGTAAGAGGTGCTTAAAGTAGTTTTCCAGCTTTCCAACTAGTGCCCCTTCATTAGGTGCTTCTGGGAGGCCTCTAAGCCGGATATTGTTGTGCCGTGAGCGGTTCGCTAGGTCTTCCACCAGCAGTTCCAGCTCGGTTATCCTCTGCTCTGCGGCTCTGGTATGGGTCACTGTTGTATTGTGGGCCTGACTAACTTGTTCCATCCTCTCCTCCAGCACCTCGGTCCGGGCTCCCAGCGCCTGAATTTCCAATTTGACCTCTAGTGTGCTCTTGGAGATTTCTCCTGCTAGATAATTACGGACCTCTAGTAGCTTGTTGAGGATGTGTGTGGTGTCAGCTTGTGTGGGCTGGTCGCTGCCCTCTCCCGGCAGTTGGGAGACGGGGCTGTGTGAGTCGCGCTGTCGGCCATCTTGCACGGCCTGCAAGCCGCGTGGCGTGGTAACCATGTCCATGACGGATGTGGAGGATTCTCTCCTGTCTCCTTTCTTTCGTCGTTGCTGTTTGGCACCGGTTTGACTGCTGTGCATTGTGTGTGTTAGGGAGATAGGTTAGGAGTCTCGATGCTTATGTTAAGTGCTAGATTGTTGGTGGATTTAGCGGAGCTCTTGGACTAGGCGGCTATTTCGGTCGGCAGTCAAACCACGTCCCCCGGGATGTCAACTAAGACTTTTTCTATGTACACAAAAGGCCTATTTCTCACAAACATTGTTCACAAATCTGTCTAAATCTGTGTTAGTGAGCACTTCTCTTCTGGAGAGATAAACCATCCACCTTATAGGTGTGCCAAAGCAAGATGCTGATTAGACAGCATGCTTATTGCACAGGTGTACAATGACATGAGCACTTCCCTCTTTCTACTGCTAATACCACTCTCCCTATACAACCGAGTATTCTTCTAGCATTTCCTGCTGTTCTATTACATTGTCTGCCTACCTTTAAGTCATCAGAAATAATCACCCCTAAATCCCTTTCCTCAGATGTTGAGGTTAGGACTCTATCAAATATTCTGTACTCTGCCCTTGGGTTTTTACATCCAAGATTCATTATCTTGCACTTATCCACATTAAATGTCAGTTGCCACAACTCTGACCATTTTTCTAGTTTACCTAAATCATTTGCCATTTGGCTTATCCCTTCTGGAACATCAACCCTGTTACATATCTTAGTATGATCAGCAAAAAAACATACCTTACCATCAAGACCTTCTGCAATATCACTAATAAAAATATTAAAGAGAATGGGTCCAAGTACAGATCCCTGAGGTACCCCACAAGTGACAAGACCATGCTTTGAATATACTCCACTGACTACAATCCTCTGTTGCCTGTCACTCAGCCACTGCCGTCCTCATTCAACAATATTGGAATCCAAACTTAAAGATTACAATTTATTGATAAGCCATCTATGTGCAACAGTGTCAAAAGCCTTACTGAAATCTAGGTAAGCAATGTCTACTGCATGCCCCTGATCTATTATTTTAGTTACCCAATCAAAAAAATCAATAAGATTAGTTTGGCATGATCTCCCTGAAGTAAACCCATGTTGTCCCTGATCTTGAAATCCATGTGATTTTAGATGTTCAACAATCCTATCCTTAAACATGGTTTCCATTACTTTCCCCACTACTGAAGTAAGGCTTACTGGCCTGTAGTTGCCCGACTCCTTCCTACTACCTTTCTTGTGAATGGGCACAACATGCGCTAACTTCCAATCTTCTGGAACTACTCCTGTTAATAATGATTAGTTAAATAAATCTGTTAATAGTTTTGCTAGTACACCACTAAGCTCTTAATAACTTTGGTTGTATTCCATCAGGTCCCATTGACTTGTCTTCACTTTTGAAAGTTGAAATAGAACCTCTTGCTGTGTAAACTCACATGTAACAAATTACTAATTTGTCCCTTTTCCTAACTGAGGCCCCTTTCCTTCATTTCACCTGTAAATACTGAACAAAAATATTCATGGAGGCAGTCAGCTAGACCTTTACCCTCTTCTACATACCTTCCTTATTTTGTTTTTAATCTAACTAATCCTTGTTTTACTTTCCTTTTCTCATTTTTTATGTAGCTAAAAAATGTTTTGTCCCCTTATTTTTTTACTAACAATATTTTCTCTTGTGTGTGTGATTTGGAAGCTCTTATAACATGCTTAGCCTCTGTCTAATCTTATAGATCTATCTTCCTCACTCTGGGTTTTTTTACAGTTACAAAATGCCAACTTTTTTTTTTTTTACACTATTTTGGCCACATCTGCGGAGTACCACAGTGGTTTTTTGAATTTTTTTGCTTTTACTGACCGGCCTAATGCAATTTTCTGTTGCCTTCAGCAGTGCAACTTTTTAAATAATCCCATTTCTCTTGGATTCCATTTAAATTGCCCCATTCTGATCATGACTCCTTTACACATTCTAATTTTAGAAACGTTTGTTTTTCTAAAGTCTAAAACTTTTGTTTTTGTGTGTTCTTATATTAAACCACACTGACTTATGATCACTGGATCCTAAACTTTCACCTACAGTAACATCTGATACCAAATCTCCATTTGTTAACACTACATCTAGAAAGGCCTCTTTAAAGTTGGCTTCTCAACGACTTGTTTTAGAGACAATTCCAGTAGGGAGTTTAGAATATGTGTGCTCCTGGCACAAGCAGCTAATTTGGTTTTCCAGTTCACATCAGGAAGATTAAAGTCACCCATGATGATAACTTCCCCCTTCATTGTCATTTTAGCTATTTCCTCAACTAGTAGATTATCTAACTCTATTTGTCCTGGGGGCCTATAAATCACACCTACACGAGTTACTGTGTGATTACCAAATTCTAACGTAACTCAAACAGGCTATTACTTTTATTAGGCTAGATTTTATGCTATCGTTCACATACAGGGACACCCCTCCCCCTTTCTTGCCTTCATTGTCTTTTCTATATAAAGAGTACCATGGTATTGCTGGTATGTCCCAGTCATTTTTCTCATTATACCATGTCTCAGTAACAGAGACTAAATCTACATTATCAGTTGCAATTATTGCCACAAGTTCAGGGATCTTATTGCCTAAACTGCGACATGACTAAGCTTATCATTTTTTAAACACACTTGATACAGGTACATTCTGTCCTTGATTGGGGAGGGGGCAATAGGATTGATGTTTTATCACCCTCCCCCTCTCCCCCTCCTAGTTTAAATACATCCTAACAAAACCTCTTAACTGTTCACTGAGAACATTTGCTCCCTTTTGAGGAAGATGCAAACCATTTTGTAGTTTTTCAATTCCAAACAGAGTTACCATGGGAAATGAAGCCAAATCCTTGCTCCTGGCACCATTCACCAAGCCACAAGTTAAAGTCCCTAAAATGCATCCGCCTGTCATTCTGTGTGTTCTCCACAGGAAGAACTTCAGAGAATAACCTTGTGGAAGCAACCTGCTGTATATCATTGGCAAAAACACAGAAAACTTCCTTTGCCTCTGAAACTTCATTGCAAGCCAAGTCATTTGTCCCTAGATAGACACGTACATCCAATTCCCCTTCCTGCTTTGCTTGCTTAACAATATTACAAATATGTCTCCTGTCTCTTTGAGCAGTAGCTCCGGGAAGACATCTCACAAGACCACTATTGTCCAGCTTAACACCTCTTATGATAGAATCCCCCAACAACAATTGCTTTCTATCAGGCCTCACATAGTCTCGGTGCCTGGAATGTCTCCACAACACCACTACCCTCGGTGCCTGAGCTTGTCTCCACAACACCACTACCCTCGGTGCCTGAGCTCAGGGCCGGCGCTACCTGTTAGGCGGACTAGGCAGCCGCCTAGGGCGCCCCTTGGGAGGGGGCGCCGCCAGGAGCGCCGGCCCCGCTCATGCTGCAGCCGCCCGAGCGCTCTGTAAAGAGCCTCAGGCGGCTGCAGCTTTTCCCGGGCGGTGCGTCCATGAGGGCGGACCGCACCGCCCGGGCGCAGCATGGGCAGAGGCTGACAGGAGGGAAGCGCTCAGCGCTCCCTCCTGTCAGCTCCCTCACTGTAGCGTGGCCGAGCCCTGTATGGCATGGTCCGACCGGTACAGGGAGCAGCTGTCTCCTGTACCCGGCCGGACTAACAGGAAGTGAACACTGAGTGTTCACTTCCTGTTAGTCCGGCCGGGTACAGGAAACAACAGCTCCCTGTACCCGCGGACTATACTGGGCTCGGCCACGCTACTACACAGGTAGGGGGGAGGGGAGAAGAAACAAACAGAGAGGGAGGGAGGGGGGGTGAAGAAAGATACAGAGAGGGAGGGGGAAAAGAA